ATGTGAATAAGGCTCAGGAGGGAGGGAGGGAGGGAGGGAGGGGAGGGAGAGGAAGGAAGGACAGTGATAATACCAGGCATTCCGTGTATGAAGCACCACACCAAGGCTTCTCAAAACAATGGCTCAGCCAATCCTCACCACAGCCCTGTAAGAGCTGTCCCACTTACACATGAAGACAATGATAGGCTAAGAGGCTGACCTCTTTCCAGAATCCCCCTTGCCCCCCACGCATTGGAGTCCCTACCAAGCCTCTTGTCTTGACTCAGAAAGGTACAATTTCTTTTTTTCTGTCTCTTTCTTATATTTTCCTTATATTTTAAAAAAGATTCTATTTTACTTTATTTTGAGTGTTTTGCTTGCATGCCTGTATGTGCATTTTGTGTACAAAGAACCCACGGAGTTCAGAAGAGGGCGTTGAATCCCCTGGAATTGGAGTTACAGGTGGTTGTGAGTCCTCATGTGGGTACTGGGAATTGAACCCAGGTCCTCTGCAAGAGCAGCCAGCGCTGTTAACCACTGAGTCATCTCTTCAGCTCTTAACTCTTTTCAGATGCTGGCCAGAACCTAAGTAAGCTTTTCCTGGCACTTTGAACTCCCCAAGCTTTGCTTTTTCTGCAAAGCTCCCCTCCTCTCCTCCCCAACATGCCTAACTGCGATGGCTTTTTCCATCTCTCCTCCATTCTCCTCCTCTGGGAAGCTGCTGAGATTTACAGTTTGCCTTTCCTGGAATTTTTCTTTTAAACTCTGACAAAATTCTCTTCTTAGAATAAATTTTGGTTTTTCTTGACTTTCAAACATTTCCTGCTTTTTAATTCTTTGATCTGGGGAGAAAACGAACCCATTCCTGAACTCCTAGACAGTGTCAAGCTAGTAAGGTCCTGGTCTGGGTTCAAGGTTGAGGAAAGGAATTTCTTTTTTTTTTTCTTTTGAGACAAGTTCTCCCTGTAGCCCAGCTGGCCTGGAACTCACTCTGTAGACCAGGCTGGCCTTGAACTCACAGAGATCCATCTGCCTCTACCTCCCGAGTGCTGGGATCAAAGGCATGTGTCACCATGCCTGGCAATTCTTTTTTTTAAAAATTTTTTCTTTAAATTTTTATTTATTGTATGTGTATGAGTATACTGTCTGCATGTGCACCCATGTTATGCAATGCCTGTTGAGGTCAGAAGAGGGTGTTGGAGTCCCCTGGAACTGGAGTATGGATGGTTGTTAACTGCCATATGGGTGCTGGGACTTGAACCTAGGTCCTCTTTAAGAGCAGCCAGTGCTCTTAACTGCCGAATCATCTCTCCAGTCCCAAAGGAAATGGTTCTTATGTAGGGGTTCCCAGGGGTTCCCTGCCTCCACCCCAGGGCCCAGAATGATTCTTCTGAGAGGGACAGGCTTGGGGATGGGGTGGGGGGCCAAGTTTAAACTCTACCCTCAGTTGCTTTACTCTGGAGACCAGCCCAAGTCCAAGTCCTGATGGATTTAGAGATGATGTGGTCATGTGAGGCTATAGACGTCAGGCTCCTGATCCCAGAGAGGGAATCACAGCAGCCTTCTGTCACAGTCAGTACCTGTCATAGTATAAAGCAGCCCAGGGAAGTGGATCACATCATCATTTTATGCATGGCCAGTAGAAGCACAGAAAGGTCAAGTAGCAGAGTCAAGGTCTGGCTCCAGGGTCCATGAGGGGATCCCTCCCCCCGCATCAAGGCTTGTTCATTCTTTTTTATGCCAGGCTTGGGAACAACAAGACACTGTCTAGCATGACAGACTGGGGAGCAGGTGGGGGGACACAGGATGGGGGTTTGGTTCGGGAGAGGGGTGCTGGACTAGGGTGGAGGTCAGAGATCTTCATTTCACCTTTGTTACTGAACTTTGTGAAATTTGTTGCTGTGTGACCCTGGGGGAGACCCTACTGGTCTCTGGACCTGGGCCTCTTCATCATATGAAGAGTTTGAACTGACTCCCTGAGACATGGGCTAGCCAAGCAAACAGAGGGGTCCACTCCCCACCCCCAGGCATGTCCTATTTTCATAATGTTGCTGAAACTCTTCTGAAGACAGACTCTGAAAACAGAGAGCATACACCTCAGGCCTGGGATTCTGCCTTTTTTTTTTTTTAAGACAGACTCTCATATAGGCCAGGCTAGTCTCAAATTCACTATGTAGACAGGATAACCTTGAACTTCTGATCCCCGTGCTTCTTCTTTCCCAGAGTTCTGGGATTACAGGCATGTACCACCACACCTAGTTTATGGAGTCTGAGGTTGGGACCCAGGGCTTTGTGCTTGCTAGGCAGGTACCTACCAAGCTACACCCAGCCTGGATTCTGCTTTTGAGACTGAGCTTGTGCCTCTGCATGACTTGATGGAGGAGGAAGCCTTTGGCCTTTAGAGCCCATTGTATATGCTCAGGCAGCATCTGGCCTGGGTTGTCCCACAGACCTTCAGCCTTAGAGGACTGCACCTTTTCAACTGCCCTGGCTGGTATCCACATCACCTCCCAAAGTTACAACACATAGGAACCCCCTTTTCCTGTAGGAGCTGATGGAGTGGGGGCTCCCATGTCTGAGGATAAGGGGAAAGGCATTGATCTCAGCTGACCCAGCAGGTTTGCCTGAGCCACAGGTAAGGATTCAAATCCCAGTGATGCCACTTCCAAGGTGGGCAGCTTTGGATTTGTTGCTTAACCTCTCTGAACTTGCACATCCTCTCTGCAGGATGGTTGAGGTGCCTGGCACATACTGGGCACTCAACGAATGGGGCTCCTAAAATTACAAACCTCATAGGTAGGGGTGGGGCTGCAGGGCCTGCAGCCAGGCCTATATTTAGCCTGGAAAGGGTCTGGAAGGCAGGAGACAAAGCACCCAGCCAGTCCCTGTGCCCCAGTAGGCGGAGCAAAGGAGAGACTCGTGGGTGGCCGCCCCCACCTCTCTGCCCTCTCAGCAGACAGCGGGGTCACCTTGGCTGAAGTGGCGGCTCAGGGCTCCCTTAGACCAGATGAACCCGGTTCTCAGCGGCTGTAAGTTGCCTGCGCAGCCCTCATCCTCTGGATTGTGACCTGGGGAGGAGGCTGCTGGGGCCTGAAGGGTTGGGGGGGGAACACATCCCCCCACCCACCCACCACTGGGGGACCCTCTCACTCCCAGGCTGCTGTGGGAGGGGCTTCATCGGGGTCGTAGTGCCAAGGTGAACCCGACCTCGACTTGTGGGGGGCAGAAAGGGGGGAGAGTGTCAGTCCCGCCCCCTTAGCCCCGCTCCTATGAGTGTGGAGGCTGCAAATAACCCAGCGGAATCCGTGACTCACGAGGCTGGAAATAATGCACTCCCACCTCCCCTCCCTGCTCTGAGCGCAGCGGCCTGCAGAGCTGCTCTGGGAAGGGCCTGCTATTCCGATTTCAGTAGCTGTGAGGAGTGAGGGACACCCCCTCCCCACGGACCTCCCTAGGCTTCCAGCCAACTAGCGCCCCACCCTGCTCATGCCCCTACCCCCTAGTTCCAATCGACTATGTCTCAGGAGTTGTGTAAGCTTGGGCTAGTCATTCTGCTTTTCTGGACCTCGGAGCCCCCATCACGTACAAGAAGGACTTCAAGAAGGGACATTTGTACCCATTCACTTGGCACAGTGCTGGGCCGAGTGCTGGGTACACAGTCACAGCTCATGCATTCCTCTTCAATGAAAGAATGAATTCGGAGGGGCAGGTGGTCAGCTGGGGGGCAGGGTGCTGTAAGCCTTGCTCTGGAACAATGCTGGGATGCCTGCAGGCAGTTTTTGGGGGTAGAAGAGGCCAAGGGACACCCACATTGCCTGAGGTCTTAAGCAGACTTGCTTGCTTTGAGGTTCCCCAGTCCAGCTCCTCCAAGTCCTACCCCCAGGTAGGAGAACTCCAGGTAGGGTCTCCAGGAGTCTGTGGTACTGTCCTTTTATTGTGTACAGGTTATAAGGACCAGATTTCCAGGCCCTCCACCCTCCGTCCTGTCCCCTCCCTTCCCCCAGTGCCCTAAGACAGCAAGAGCCAGAGGCTCCAGGGACCCCAGCTAACCATGAGCTGTCCCTTCTCATTCCTTCTTCTTCAGTGGGAGACTGAGCAAGAGCTGCGGACCCCCAGGGTTAAGGCTGACAAGGGTCTTTGCTCTGGATTGGAGGCCAGAAAGGACTTAGGTTGGGGTTTTTCCTCTGACCACCCTTTGCAGCAGGGGGATTTGAGGCAGCCTGGAAGGTGTGTGGCTCTAGGGAGGAGGAGCAAAGGGAACTCTCCCCAGAACACAAAGGTTGGGGGCGGGGAGCTGAGAGCAGTTGAAACAGTCCTGGGTTTAGAGCCAACCTTTAGTGGCAAAGCCCGTCATCCAAATGGCTGAGACTCAATGTCCCTATTGAAGAAAATAGAGATGCTAAATTTGATTCTAGAATGAATTGAGCTTCAACCAATGGAAATGAGTAATTAAAGGATAGGACAATGGTGTGTGTGTGTGTGTGTGTGTGTGTGTGTGTGTGTGTGTGTGTGTTCGTATATTTAAGAAATGGGAAGCAAGGGAGAGCATCTGCCCAGACGTTAGGAAAAAAAAAAACAAAACACCAGAAACAAAATAAAGAAAAAACCTGGGGTCCAAACTCTAGGACTCAAAGCCCTGTCCTGGCTCTTGTTCCCTCCTCTGCATGGATTTCTATCTGCTTGGGGAGGTACCCAGGACTCCAAGGCTCTGGTGAGAGGGAAAAGTGTGGGCTTTCCTTACCCCAACCTGGTCAGGAGGTCCTAGCACCTAGAGATAGGTGTGTTACACCATTTAATAAGCCCTATTTGGGCATAGGAGCCCTACCCTGGCACAGCTGGCTGTCGGAGGTCCAGGGTGGTGAGCAGCCCCCCATCCCCAGTTTGGGGCTTAGCGTATGTCAGGAAGGGAGCGTTACAGTCATGGCTGTCTCTCTGGTCTCCTATACGGGCAGTTGTGCTTGTGACTAGTCTGTTATACTCCCCCATCAATTCACCAATTGGGAATATTTGTCTCTCTGACCTGCAGAGTCCCCACTTCAACACCTTTATTTTGAACCGAGAGAGTGGGGCCATATCTGGGTGAAGATCTCTGGGCTGCCCTGGGCAGAATGGAGGGACCCTAGTTTGGAGGATGACCCACCTGGGGCCTGAAGGTATATGTGGGGTGCTGGAGCCAGGGCTTGAGATGTCCTGGGAGGTTGTTGTTAGGGTCGAGGTGACCTCACCAGCAGGCCAGTTGGGGAGGAGATAGGGGAAAGGCAGGGGTAGGGAGGTCCTTAGATTTTTATTTCCGTCCGGAAGGTCTGCTGGACATGCTCTGTGTGGGGGTGACGCCGTGCCCGGATGGTAAGACTGCCATCCTCCCTCAGGGCTGAAGTCACTGATGTAGGGTCCACATCCTCTGGAAGCTGGCACTTGTGAGCAAAGGTATTCATGACTGTGCCGTCAGCCGCCAGCTGGGGAAGGGGTAGCATGTCAGGACTGTCTGCCCCAGCCCTGTCCTGGCCAGGCCCAAGTAAAGTCAAAGTCTCTGTTCTACATCCTGTTCCCAACCACCCCATCGTGTTCTGAGGGGTTCTGCTATCGCATCTGGAAGGGCTGGCCAGGGGATTGGGGGTGGTCAGGGACCAAGGGCTGTGTAGACACCCAAGCAGAGGAGGTCAGAGGCACTCTAGAGGTCCCAAGAGGAGTGGAATGTAGGCTGGGGTGGGTGGGGACCAGTGAGGATGAGTAGCTAGGAATCTGGGACTCCTGAGCTATGCTGAAGGGATGACACAGGCTGTGCCCTTTGGATCCCCAGATACCCTGAGTGTCCACTGCCAGGGCCACCGCCCTCCCCCGCAGCTCAGCCAGCACATAGTGTCCAGCAGAGTCTGGGCTGGCTGAGTCACCCTCAGGATGTGGGGCTGGCACGTGCAACCAGTGGCCCAGAGTCCTCGCACCCCTGGCAGGGCTTCCCAGGGTTCAGTCTCAGTTCTCAAGGGAGCTGGCTGGGCTTGGAGAGTCTCGGAGGCTTTGGTGGACCTTACCTTTCCTGTTTACCCAGGGACCCTGAGACCCTGGGTGAGGCGTGTGTGTGTGTGTGTGTGGTTCACTGTGTGTGTAACCCCAAGCTGCAGGGCCTCTACCCAGCCTCAGGCCCAATGCAGAGGCCCCAAGATGGGATCCTGGCCTCTGGCTCTGGGATGGAATAGGGCTGGAGGTGTGGCATGAGGGGACAACCTTCCCCTGCTGCCTTGCTTGGGTCCCCACTGCCACCTTCTCCCACATTCTTCCAGGGAGCTGTCCTCACCTCATTGAATTCACCTCCTTCCTCTCACCCACTCAAGCCTCAGCCACTCAGATCTCCTCTGCCCACATTCCAACATCCCTCTCCTGTCCCTGAAGGCCCTTCAGCTGCCATGGACTCCCAAAGGCAGGGTCTGTGAACCTTGGGTTGGAGAGGGACATTTGAGGAGGAAGGGTCCCTGGCTCGTGAGCTCACTGGGTAAGGCCTGCAGTTTGCCCTGGGGGAGTTCAGGTAGGAAAGGAACACTGATCAGGATATGGAGTCTTAAGACAGGAGGAGGTAGGAGTAGAGGAGCTAGAACTGGATAGATAAGGCAGAGAGTCCAGGGGCAGAGGCAGGGAACCCAGGGTGGGACAGGGTCAGACTTACCTTCTCAGCCCGCACCTCGATGTGGTTGTTGGAGGTGGTGACTATGATGTCTTCGGGGGAGAAGTCCCTCACGTCTACTGCAAATTCATAGGCATCTCCGAGGGTCTTGATGTTGCCTGGTCCCCCAGGACGGGCTATGGGCAGAGTGGCTGTTAAGCTGGGAGTGCATCTAGGCCTGCATCCAGAACCCAGGTCTCTGTCCTTAGGGAAATGAGAGGTTCTCCCAGATGAAAACCCCAGCCCTTCTTCACTCTTATAGCCTGCCGTGTCCCCAGTGGGGTGAGCCTTACTCAGCACAGACTGTGTCTGTATACTACTAAGGCTTGCCTGCAGCAACTCCACCCAGGCCTGGAGGCTTTGGGGGCCCTGCCACCACTCAATCTCAGCCAGCTATCCAGGACTTTCACTGGGACTTGGTCATACTTGCAGGCCGTGTGCAGCCACATTTCATCCCTGGGACCACCATTATTCCTGGGAGGCCCACCTGTATTGTAGCCACATCTGTCTTGGTGCCCAGATCTGTCTTGGTAAACTTCGAAGCACCTTTTCCTGGCAGGTGGGTGGCCACAGCATGCTCCGAGGTGCCCTGGAGCTGATGTTCCCACCTGTTTGTGCCCTTCCCTCAGAGTCCCAACACTTGCCTGGGAAGGCCAGGGGCTCCGAGTGGGGCCGCATGAAGTTGCCGAAATCCTCCGAAAACATGCTCAAGGCCTTCTCCATGGGTGGGTCCTGGGCTGGGAGGGCACGGGAGGCCGCAGAGGAAGAAGAGGAGGAAGAGGAAGAAGAGGAGGAATGGAAGCTTCTCTCCGCTCTGAAGGAGGAGGAGGTCCGGTGGCTCATCCACGGGCAGCAGGAGCCCTGTCCAGGAGGGCAGGGGCTGGGCAGGAGAAATGTGTGGGTGCAGACCTCCAGGGGAACATGCCGGGGGCCCCTGACTGCCAGCGCTTTATAAGGCCCGACTGTCCCTGGGCTCAAGGCCAGCCTCTTGTCTACTGGCTAAATTTAGGACTCTTCATGGCCCGGAGGGGGCTGGAAATCTTCTTGGGAGAAACGGCTCTGCTGACAGCCTGACACACGCAGGCTGGGCTGGAGGGCTGAGCTCACCGCCTGGCACTCTAGGCCCAGAGCTCCAGCCCCAAGGGCCTCTGTACCCCACGGAGCAGGGAGTGGATCTTGTCCTGTGTCCGTCCCGGGACTTTGCAGGTTTAATGTTTCTCTCATTAGTTTGGAGGCTGTCTCTGGCCAGTGCGTCTCCTTTCAGATTGGTTCTCAGGACCTGTACCTCCCTTATCAGACTCCTGAAGAAAGAATGTGTGGAGGAGCCCTGTTGCATTGTTATGAGATGCCAGGAGCATCTCAGAGTTTGGCTATCCCCCCACCCCCCCCTTTTTTTTTTGGTCTTTTTGAAACAGGGTCTCCCTGTAGCCCCAGCTGGCCTGGAACTTACTATGTAGACCAGGCTGGCCTTGAACTCACAGAGATCCGCCTGCCTCTGCCTCCCGAGTGCTGGGATTAAAGGCATGCGCCACCGAGCCCGGCTTGGCTATCTCTTAAGAAAGGCTGAAACGGCCCAAGGGAGGGGAGATAGAATGCCGAGGTGTCCCCTGCCAACTCCCACAGGGACCCTGATTCTACTCCCTCACGCTTTCAAAACCTTTAAGGAAAAACGCTGGCAGCTAGAGGCAGGACTAAGGGTTGGGCCCAGCAGATAACTTGATAATTTTTCTTAAGGATCTAGATCTAGGAGTTTAAGTTCTTGTCAACAGTCTGCTCCTCCTCAGGCTCAGAGGAGTTGCCTGCCCAGGACTACGATTGGAGGGTTCTAGTACCAGTTAAAGGAGAATTCTGGTGTCTAGTGTCTTAGCTCTGACTTTCAGGGTGTCTCTGGGCACTGCTGTCCTCAGAAAACTTCACAACACAGCCCCCTTTGATCCCACACAGTTCACAAGGAGGAGATTTTAGGTCATTTGATAAACCAGAAAATAGAGCATCTCGTGAAGGGAAGGGACCCAAACAAGTGGAATGGCTGGGATTTGATACCAGAGGCACCTGACCCAGTGACTCCAAGAAGCCCCTTTCTTCTCACCCTGGACTACATGATGCTGGCCAGAGGGCAGAAGCCAAAGTAGACACTTTTGGGAGGTGGGCGAGCCATCTGTTCGGGAGGTAGTTTGGAGCCTTTGCTATCCTCTCCAAATCCTGTCCTTTCTTCCCACATCAGCTCACTTCTCTCCTCTCTGAAAGCCTCTGGTTGTCCCAGCCTACACAGGGCTGGTTCTGTCCAGAGTCCCCAGCACCTGGCAGTGTGACATGGTCTTCCTGTGGTCTGAGACTTCTGTGTGGTATCCCCTCACCCCTATACTTGGAACAGGGGGTTCCTGAGGGTGGGACCTGCCTCTCTCTTCTCTGGCTGTCATAGAGCCTAGCCTGGAGCTGCATCCCTGGGGGATCAGATGAGAGCTGTCACAGATGCTGGTGGTGTGTGAAGTGGGGGTAGGGTAGGGCACAACTTGGGCACAATTGGGGACAGGGTGATGCTGAAGCTAGAGGGCCCTGTCATCCCCTGGGGAGAGATTCCTGCTGATGTTGCCTGTGTGTGGGGGTGTTGCTGGAAGGACTTCAGAAAATCACCAGCACTGAGGTGAGATGGAAAGAGGTAGGGTCAGGTGGGGGGCCCTGGAGCCACATGCCAGGGAAACAGGAGCCAATGGCTAAATGCAGACACACTGTCATGGTGCTGAGGGCCTGAGTCACTGTCGCTGGATGTCACATCTCTTTACTCCCCCACACCCGCCCACCATTCCCCCTCCCCTTTCCCTCATCCCTGAGGAGTCATCCACATAAATACTGAGTCCTCTGGCTTCAGTGTCCAGGCAGGACCTTGAAAGGTCATGAAGGTCATTCTCCTGACTCCAGGCATGCTTCTTCCATGGGATTTCAGGGACAGGAGGTGCTTTGAAGATGATCCAGTCTATAGCTGAGTGTGATAGCACATGCTTGTCATCCTAGCAGGTGGAGGCAGGAGGATGAGGAGTTCAAGGCGAGCCTTAACTACATAGTGAATTGGAGGCTAGCCTGGGCTACATTAGAGCCTGTCTCAAGAAATACATAAACAGAAGCAAAAACAATGGCCCCAAATAAGACATCTCTTTAGCCCCCTCTAAGGTCCAGGGAAGAGGGGATGGAAGAACTGCGGGAGCTGAAAGATGGAGAGGAGTGTGGGGGGGCGCTGTCACCTGGAGATGAACGCGACTGTCACAATCACGAACACACAGGGGCTCTGGGCTCTGGCAAAGAGGGACCTGAGGGTAGGAAGTGGGTAGTTGAGAGGAGGGAGGTTGGTGGGGGTGAGAGGGATATGAGAAGGTATTAGGAGGGTGAATGTGATGATGGTGCACTGTATCCAAGTATAATGCTGTAAAAGAAAACAAGCTCAGAACAGCAGAGTGATCCAGTCCCTTGAATTAAGGGCATCTTTCTCTCGGGCACATTTTTACAAAAACAGCTGCTCCCCAAGATTCTGATATGGGGAGGTGGGAGAGATGGCTCAGCAGTTACAAGCAGGTACTGGTCTTGCAGAGAGTCCCGTATTGGATGACTCACAACCACCTGCAGCTCCAGCTCCAAGGGGTCCAACACTGGAACCTGCTCTTACGTATGCACACACACACACACACACACACACACACACACACACACAATTTAAAATAAATATATTTTTTAAAAAGACCCTGGGCCGGGCATGGTGGCACACGCCTTTAATCCCAGCGCTTGGGAGGCAGAGGTAGGCGGATCTCTATGAGTTCAAGGCCAGCCTGGTCTACATAGTGAGTTCTAGGACAGCTAGGGCTACAGGGAGACCCTGTCACAAAAAGATCCCCCCAAAAGACAGAAAGATCCTGATTTGGGGTTCTGAGGAAGAATCCCTTCCCCTCTGCTCCCAGCAAGCCAGTCCAGAGGCCAGCATCAGGAATCCATTTATAGAACACCTTCTCTGTGTTGGCCAATGTTTAGGCCTGGGGGACTTGGGTACATGAAAGGTGGGCCTTGCTGACAGGCTTGCCCTCATGGGACAGAAAAAGAGACAGAGGCTCTGAATAAAGAAGGTGTTGAATGGCAAGGCTGCTCTGACTTCTGGTCTGTTCTACTATGACTGAGCTGCCTCTGCACAGCCAGACACTTAAGGAGAGGAAGAAGAACTTGGGGGTGGGAGGCTAGCAAATGGGGCTACTATCTTTGGGAGGGCTTAACTTTGAGCAGCCCCTTCATAGTCCAGCCTCAGCTTCCTGGTGCTCACAGAATTGGAGTGTGGACTTGCAGGGCCGGGGATGACACTAGTGGCAGCTGCTTGAGACCAGAGACAGGTTTGGGATGTCAACAGAGCAGCCAGACATCTGTTGACAGGTGGGCAAGGTGAGGGTGACCCTAACCATGCAGAGCAACAAGCCCCACCCCCTCCTACATCACAAAAAGCACACCTGCTTCTATTTTGAAGTGACATGACTCAGGGGTAGAGGCTCAGGGTCTCAGGTTTTAATAAATCATGGGAGGGCCATGATTTTCAGAGCGGTAGCTTTAACTGGGGCAGCAGGAAAGGAGGAAATTATCCCTTGCCCAGAATTTTCTCTTTTCTTTTCTTTTCTTTTCTTTTCTTTCCTCTTCCTCTTCCTTCACCTCCATCTCCTCTTTTTCTTGACACAGGGTCTCATGTAGCCCAGTTTGCCCTACAGTCCTTACAATTCACTACGTAGCTGAGGATGACCTTGAACTTCTGATTATACTGCCTCTATCTACCAAGTGCTGAGATTACAGGCATGTCCACACGCTGAGTATGTGTGTTGGTGGGACTCAAACTCAGGGCTTTATGCATGCTAGGCAAGCACTCTGTTAACTGAGTTACATCCCCTGTCTCCAAATCTAAAAGTGGTATCAGGCACAAACCCTTTACTTTGTGTCCAAATCATTGCCCTGCTAAAGTCTCAGGAGCTGGAAGTAGAGAATGGGTCTGAGCTAGGCCTCTCTTGTTGGACCACAGGTGAGTGATTGCATCTCTCTGACCCTTCACCTATCATCTGCAAAGTGGTGACATTACCCCACCTTATACAAGGTGGGGGCATTGAGCTGCATTGCAGAAGCTATGCTCCCAATGAGCCCACAACACAGACAGACAGACAGACAGACAGACACACACACACACACACACACACACACATGCTCCTTTACCAAACTCTTGATACTAGTCTTTCTGTCTTCTGCTGGTGTCAGGCAAGGCCCATGACATTTACAGAGGACGCCAACCAGAGCCACAGTCCCTAAGACGCTGGGGGTTGAGGGGCAGTTTTCCAAGAGGGACGGGATGAAAAGTCCATCCATTTCCTTGTCAGGCCCTGGTAGCCTCTAGCTCTTTTCAGTGTCCTTGCCTCCCTCCCAGCCTCTGAACAAGATGGGACCATCAAGGCAAGCCCATGGAGCAGTGTGCAGGCTTTGGTGTCTGGTGGGGATCCGGTCTCTGGTCCTCAGTCTCTGGGGTCTGAGTGGTGGTGGTATTCGGATAGGCTCTTGCTGTGTTATTCAGGCTGATTGGATATTCTCGGCCTTGAGGGCTGCTCCTACCTTAGCTTCCCAAATAGCTGGGACCACAGGTGGTATGAGCCACCATGCCAGCTAGCCTCTGTGAGCTTGGACTAGAAACCTCACAGCTCTTCGATGCCATTTCTTTCAAACAGGACAACTGGCCATCTCTCCGGGTTTGAGGAACATTCAGTCATTTGGGGCAGTGCTGAACATCATGCCCAGCTTCTAGGGAGGGAGCAGTCATGGAGACCCCACTCCCCTGGGCCCGTGTGTCTTCATCTGCTGTGTCCTCCTTCTTTCCTCTCCTGATTTGCACCCTTTCCAAGCCCAGTTGAGAGTCCACACCCTGATGCTCAGCTTCCAGCAGAGGGCCTTCCCTGTCCTGCATGTGCAGTGGCTCCTGCTCCCAGGCCTGCATCTCAGGAGCCCCAGGGGCCTGCAGCATTGTAGGATGATCCCTCTACCTGGGTCTCTAGCCTGGGACAACTGTGCTCCCCCTCCCCCACTCCTCAGCAACTCAGTTGTCGTGGTCAGTCAGTTCTGGCTGGCTTCTCAAGGACATTCTTAATGGCCTCTTTAACCCCAAGGAGGGGAGGGGAGGGTGTTGATTGGTGGAGTGCACACCTGTTCAGGTGCACAGGAACAGTAAACAGAGGCTGTGTTGGAGGAAGGCCAGTCGGGGCTTCAGCAGGGCACAGTGACAGGTGAGGGACAGCTGGGTGTTCAGTGGGGCGGGCACGGACTTAGACTTGGATGGCATCTACCAGGGCCAGGGTGGGCATGGAAAGGAAGAGTGTGGGTCCTTAAAGTGTTACCCCCTCAAGGGTCTCTTTCAAGGTCTGGGGTCTTCCAGCCTCCTGTGTCCTGAGCTGAGGGACACAGGGTGCTGTGGGATGGGCATGGGGCATCATAGATGCCCATGGGAACCCCATGGTGATGGGGCTATCCCTGGACAAAGTACAAGCAGGCTATTGTCCAAGCAGGGTGTCAGTGGGGCCAAAACAGGGGACAGGCTCTGACTAGTTCTGATGGACATAGAAGGGACATTGAGGTACAGCCATGTTGTATATAAGACATTCACACATTTTCTCTGTGAAGAGGGCACACCCAGACTAATCAACCTTCCTGATAGCATACATGCACACAACACGTGTATGGGAAGCCATACCCAAAATCTTTAAGGGGTACATACTTCTAGACACACACATGCACACAGGCACACACACTTAAGAGACAGTATATTGGAAGCGCCTAGAGGTGGGATACAGGCTCAGAGCGGCTCACCAAGCAGCCATCCACCTGTCATCAGAGAACCGATGGAGGAACTGGTGGGGCTGTGTGAGGGCTCCTCAGGGAAGCCAGTGACTCTGCCAGAGCTGTGGGGTCCATGTCCACGCATCCGCCGAAGCATCCGAGGTGAGAGCTGGGTCCCCATTCCCACACCCCAGGACAAGACTCCCCTAGACCCAAGATCATCTTCTGCACTGGCAGAGTCTTTGGGGTGGCAGGGCCATCCTTATAGCCAGGGGGGCAGAGAAAGCAGGAACCCCAGAAAGAGGCAGGTTGCAGGCCCGGGTACTGGTGGCCACAGTCAGAAAGGGCAATCTTCCAGGCTGGGCTGGCAGCCAGTGACCAGATGTATAGCTGGAGACCTGGAGTACAGATGCCCCTCAGGCCCCTGGGAGTCTCGGGACCTTGCTGAACCCATGATCTCTAGGCTACAGACTCCGCTGAAATACTGGCTGGAGCCACATTGTCAAGCCCCTCCATTCTCCTCTGCCCCCTGAACCATTTTTTCCCTAAGTTCTCAGTGTGGGAAGAGGTGGAGGGGCAGGTCAAAGACTTTCTACAAAGGCCACAGGGGTGGTACCACTGGGCCATCCCTTGACTTGTTACAAATCCTGCTTGACCCCTTGTGTGAGGCAGAGCCCTTCCATATTACCTTGGACTTCAGTCTTGGGGTCCCTAGGCTTCTTTGCTCAGGGTCCAAGCAGTCCCTAAGGAAGGAGCTGTGACCCCAGTGTCCTACCCAGGGGGCCTGGAGTGGCTGAAACAGCGGTTGTTCCACGTGGGTGAGGATTGGTATTTCCTGATGGTCCTTGGGGTGCTCATGGCTCTGATCAGCTACACCATGAACTTCGTTGTTGGACGTGTGGTTAGAGGTAAGGCCTTTCCCTCATGTACATCTAGTCTGGGATTCCTGAACAAACTTGGAATGCCAACTGGACCACCACGGGCAGTGGGGTAGGGTGGGGCTGCAGGTGGCCAGGCCTGGAATTGCCTCTGACTTTGCTTTTGCCTTACTATGTGACCTTGATGAGGCTCTGTGCCCTGCTGGGCCTTAGTCACCCTCATCTGCACAAAGGAGGAAGAACCCTCTCTCATCTGAACAGTCCTCTCTCACCTTGCTCTCAGAACAATGACCCTAGACCCCAGGCACCAAGCCTTCTGCTCCTCTACTCACTGGGTGGCCTTGTCTGTAAGAGGGCACCCTGAAGGCCGTAGAGGCTCTGGGTGGCTCCCTGACTGCTGGCTATCTCCAGCACACGAATGGCTGTACAGGGAGCTTGGGGACGGCCATCTGCTCCCGTATCTCTCCTGGACTGTGTACCCCGTGGCCCTCCTGTCCTTCTCCTCTGGTTTCTCACAGAGCATCATACCATCCTCTGGAGGTGAGTCAATCTCCTGACCTCTGGCTAAATTGTCTTGCCTTGCAGTTCCCACAAGGCTTAAGCCTTACCACATACTGTAGGGCTTCTGAAGAAGGAGATGGAGCAATGGCCCTGTGTTAGTGCTGGGGAAACAGGCTTAGAAGAACTGGGCCACTTACCCAGAGGGGAAGAAAGGGACCTGGGTTACCACTGGCCCAGCCTGACTTTCCAGAGGTCCTCTGGGCGGGGAAGGAGGATTGGTCCCATCCTTCAGGGCTGCTTTGAATGGCTAGTGCCAGGGATGGGCTGAATGAGGCGGCCAGCCGAGCTAGGCCTCTAGAGCTGCCTCCAGCTGCAGGTCAGGGAGAATCTCCCAGATCCATCTGACCCTTGGCTTCTTCCTCTGGAAGCTGAAGCTATGAGTCCCCCTTATAGGGTGTGCGAAGCTATTGTGTGACTTTTCCTGTGGAGACACAAATGTGTGTTCATCCCATATAGGGAAATAACAACAGATCAAAGTAACAATTCTACCTGTCAACTTGGGAAACCAGTGAGTTTGTTGTGCTTGTAGAGCAGGACCATGGCAGACTCAAAGGCTTCTGCCTCACCCAGCATGGGTGCTGACTCATGAAAGCTGTGCTCCCTGTGTGGCTTGCAGGCAGCTCTCCTCTCTGAAGTAACTCTTATCTCCATGTACCCTTAGGAGGGGCCTTGTGAATCCTGTAAGCTTCAGTAGCTTCCTTAGACTTGTGAGTTTTATTGATTTCCTGAGCCTTGGAAATTTATTTCTTGAACGTTAACCAGCCTCCCTGCTAGGAGAGAAGTTTCTTCTTTTGTTTGTTTGTTTATGAGACTGAGTGTGGTGGGGCACACTTTTAATCCCGCATTCGGGAGGCAGAGGCAGGTGGATCTCTGTGAGTTCAAGGTCAGCCTGGTCTACACAGTGAGTTCCAGGCCAGCTGGGGCTACAGAGAGACCCTTCTCAAAAAGGCCAACAGAAAAAGAGAGAGAGAGAAGTTTTAAATCAGAGGAAATAGCTACAGACCAGAGGCTCATTCAGGATGGTGCCCTGAGGGTGTGTGTGCATAGGGAGCTAAGAGAGTTAATGGGATTTTGTCTCCCCCTTGCCTCTGCCCATCTGACCCAGGGTCTGGGGTCCCAGAGGTGAAGACCATCTTGTCTGGTGTGATCTTGGAGGACTATCTGGACATCAAGAACTTCGGGGCCAAGGTGGTGGGCCTTTCCTGCACCCTGGCAACGGGAAGCACCATCTTCCTGGGAAAATTGGTATACGATAGAAAGCCTGCCCACCTGCCATTCTGCTGTCCTGCCCTGCCTTCCTCATTCTACTCCACAGTCAGCCTTGCCTTGGGGAGCACAGTCTTGGGGGAGTGCAACCAGGTCACAAGAGCCATTTAGGATGGTGGAGGGCTGGGGCAAGGATGTGAGTGAGAGATGCCAGGCCACCTCTGGACAAGGCTTGTGGCTCACTTTTCTTGATCCCTAAGAAGAAAGAAGGAGAAAGAGGAGGAGGAGTGGAAGGAAGAGGAGCATGAAGAGAATGAGGAGGAGGAAGGGGAGGAGGAGGAAGGAGAGGAGAGAGAGAAGAGGGAAGATAGGTCCAGCTTCGCCATGGAATGGACCCTCTGTCCAGAACCAGTATGTCACCGCCTCACCCTGGCAGGGCCCCTTCGTACATCTGAGTGTGATGATAGCTGCCTATCTGGGATGCGTGCGCACCAAGACCATAGGAGACGCTAAGGTAAGGAGTATTGGGTGAGGCCCCCTTGGGGAACAGGAAGGGGAGAGGGCTAAGCCCAGGACCCTGTTCTCCCCAGAACAAGACCAAGGAAATGGAAATGCTGGCAGCAGGGGCAGCAGTGGGTGTGGCCACAGTCTTTGCAGCCCCTTTCAGTGGTGAGACCCTCCCACCCTCCTCACTGCACTGCTGGGGGAGGGCTGCCTCCCACTGACCCTCTTCTCCCTGGATTGGCTAGACCCCTGCTCCCCCAAGCTGGCTCCTGAGCCCAGTGTACCCACCTGCCATCTTGCCATGTGCACAGCCACAACAGGGTCGGATAGAGAGGGGTGGGATGGCCACTCACTGCAAGCTTACTTTGGATACATGTGGATTTGAAGCCCAGCTCCTGCTGTGTGGCCCTGGCTGGTGAGGCCACCTCTCAAGCCTGGTTTTCTGGGATAGGGCTGCCTAAGGTCCTGCCTTCCCAGCTTCATCTGAGGATGGGACAATATGAGGCCCCTGGCTGCCCAGGAGGAGGGCAGATCAGAGAGGGTCAGGGAGAATGTGACCCTGAATCCTGCAGTCTGGGAATGGAGGTCCTCCTGAGCTGTGTGCCCCCTAGGTGTCCTGTTCAGCATTGAGGTTATGTCGTCCCACTTCTCCGTCTGGGATTACTGGAGGGGCTTCTTCGCGGCCACCTGTGGGGCCTTCACATTCTGTCTCCTGGCTGTCTTCAGCAATGAGGCGGGTGAGCCCCACATTGGGCCTAGTTTCCCTCCTCCCTCTTCCCTGACTCCTCCCTCCCTCCCTCCCTGCTCCGTCCACCATCCTTTCCCTCTGTATTCCCCCTTCTTCCATCCCTCCCTTCCTCTTTCCTCTTCCTTGACCTTCTAGAAGAACAGAGGTCTGGCCTCTTTGTTGAACAAGGAAGATGAAGGAGAAGGGCCCCAAGGGTGGAAGGGGCTGAGGCCTACAAGGAGGCGGGACTGGGTTGTGGGGTCTAGAGTGGCAAGGAAATTCGGGGTCAGGCCTGTACCCTCACCTGAGTTATTCTGAGATTGGATTTAGTTGGGGAAGAGGGTGATGTCGGCTCCCTACCCCCCTCCTTCCCCAGAGACCATCACTACCATCTACAAGACCAGTTTTCGGGTGGACATACCCTTCGACTTGCCCGAGATCTTCTTTTTTGTAGCCCTAGGGTAAGTGGGGTGTCCAGCTCTGAAAATCCAGCTGGAGGTCTTCAGGCACAAACTGGGTGACTCTGGACTCACCATCACCTCCTTCCAGGGCTATATGTGGCATCATGAGTTGCATTTATAACTTCTGCCAGCGGACTTTCTTATTCTTCCTCAAGACCAATGGGTTCACCTCCAAACTGCTGGCTACCAGGTGGGCTGGTCCCCTCAGGGAGTACCCCATTCCCGACCTGCTGTCGAAATCCTACCCCTTCACTGAACCCCTATCTTCCCATTAACTCTCCCAAGTCCCTCTATTCCACACCCCACTGATGGTAAACCCATTCCTTTACAACCTCTGCCACACAACCACTGTCACACTTACCCAGAAACCAACCCTCTCACTGAACCACTCCACCCCTTCACTGATCCTCTGCCTCATCTCCTCCCTGAATCTTCTCTGCCCCTGCCCTTGACATTCCTTATCTACCATCTTGCCCAAGGCCAAGGCCACCCTGGCCTGGCCGGTCCTCCCTCCCTGTCAGTTACCCCTCAGACCCTCCCTTTGCCACATCAGGTCTCCTGGGCTCACCTCACCTGTTTCTTCTCTGGAGGGCTCTGGCCATTCCCTGCTCCTGCCCTTCCTTCTCCCCAGGTCTTTCCTCACTGTGAGCTCCAGGGCTGTGGGCTTGCCCTCTCTGGAGAACTCTGGTGTCCCCCCTACATTGTTGTGGAAGGAGAGGAGGCAAACTGGAGCTCCTCTCCCCCCACAGCAAGCCCTTGTATTCGGCTCTGGCTGCTCTGGTCCTGGCCTCTATCACTTACCCACCTGGTGTGGGCCGCTTCATGGCTTCCCGGGTAAGGGGTGCTGAGCTGGGTGGCAGTGGTAAGGAGCCCCCAAATGCCATCTCCCCTTGTGCACCATCGTTATTCCCCTACAGTTCTCTGAGGGACATGCCTGCGGGTCACTTTTCAGATAGAGATGTAGCTGAGCCACGGCAGAGCCATCCCCAGGGTCCCCCGCTTGGAAGTGGTAGAGCAGTCCAGGCTCAGGTGGGTGGCGGGGCAGTTGGGGACATGCTGAACTGTCACTGTCTCTGCCCCAGCTGTCCATGAAGGAGCATTTGGACACCCTGTTTGACAACAACTCATGGGCACTGATGACCCGGAACTCATCCCCACCCTGGCCCATGGAGCCTGACCCTCAGAATCTCTGGTTTGAATGGTATCACCCACGGTTCACCATCTTTGGGACACTGGCCTTCTTCCTGGTCATGAAGGTGGGTCCCTTGTATGGGCAGAGCCATGGCAGGCTCTGGGTGGGCTGAGGCTGCCTCCACTTCTGGTAGCTGGAGTGTTGTCCCTGCATCCAGGGTCTGGATCTCACTTTGGCCCACTGTGCTCCTCAATACCCCTTGCAACTCAGCCTCATTCTCCCTCCTCCTGCTCCTCCTCCTCTTCCTCCTTCTTTTCTTCCTCCTCCTCCTGCTTCTTCTCCTCCTCTTCCTCCTTCATTTGAGGGTATAGTCTTACTATGTAGCCCAGGCTTGTCTGGAACTTGTGATCCTTCTGCCTCAACCTCCTGAACGCTGGGCTATAAGCATGACCCATGGCACCTGGCTGCCCTATGCTTACAAAAATATTTGTGTGTATGTGTGTGTGAGTGCCTGCATGCGGGGTGTACATGTGAAAGTCAAAGGACAATGTTGGTTTTCTCGGGGCTGGAGAGATGGCTCAGTGGTTAAGAGCACTAGCTGCTCTTGCAGAGGACCCAGGTTTGAATCCCAGCACCCACATGGTGGCTAACAACCATAACTCCAGTTCCAGGTGATCTGATGCCCTCTTCTGTCCTCCTCGGGCACTGCATGACACAGGTGCGCTTACAAACTTGCAGGCATAACACTCATACACATAAAATAAAAATAAATAAAAAATAAAATAAAAGAGTTTTCTCCTATCATATGGATTCTGAGGATCAACCTGAGGTTGACAGGTTCAATGACAAGTGTAGTTACCCACTGGTCCCTTTTCTTGACATCCTGTTTTCTTTAAGATAGAGTGGTTATTCTTTCTACCTAAAGGGCAGACTGAGTAAGAAGAAGGAACAAACCTGGCATGTGCTCTGCACACAGTGGGTGTTTTATTAAGACTTAGTTCCTTCCCCTGGTTGATGCTATCTCTAATGCCAGATGCTGCTAGGAGCCCAGACCTGGGCACCCTTTTCTCTAGGAACCTCCTGTCCCTCTGCTGCCCATGTGTTGCTTCTAACTTCTGCCATGTGGGTACAACCTCCCCGCAGTTCTGGATGCTGATTCTAGCTACCACCATCCCCATACCTGCTGGGTACTTCATGCCCATATTTATCTATGGTGAGATTGGGGTCCTGAAGGCCTGGGAGGTTCAGGGGCATGGGGGCATGCCATGGCTCCCCACCCATCTCCCTCCCAGGGTGGTTCTGAGGGTGGGGCAGAATTTGACAGCTTTGGAGGTCTGGTCAACCTGGTTGTGCCCTTCACTCTGAGTTTGTGGCAGGAGCTGTCATCGGACGCCTTTTGGGAGAAATCCTATCTATCATCTTTCCTGAGGGCATCGTGGCTGGAGACCAAGTCAACCCCATCATGCCTGGGGCCTATGCTCTGGCAGGTCAGTAGCTGGGTCCCAAAGGTGGGCAGACCTCATGATTGGAATGCAGTCAGAAAAGTGTGTAGAGTGGTCACTGAACTGCTCATTGTACCCCCCCACTCCTCATACAGGCCTGTCTCCTCCTGAAGCCTTGGCATCCCCTGAACCTCCCAGCTCCCTCTATCCCCAACTGTCAGCAGCATGTGCCCTCTGGGTACTTCTGGGCCTAGCCATGGTCATATTATGCTACCTTACCTTCTTGGTGAGCCTGGCCCCTGGCCTGAGCTTGCTATCCTTGGTTTTGGTTCTGCAGGGGCTGCGGCCTTCTCAGGGGCAGTGACCTACTCCATCTCTACGGCTCTGCTGGTCTTTGAAATGACTGGCCAGATCGTTCATGCTCTACCTGTGCTAATGGCAGTGCTTGTGGCCAATGCCATCAGTCAGAGCTGTCAGCCCTCCTTCTACGAAGGCACCATCATTGTCAAGAAACTGCCGTACCTGCCATGGATTCGTGGCCGCAAGCTTGGGTGAGCCTCAGGCTTGCTGATGAGCCTATGATAATGATGTCCAGGGTGGTCTGAGATAAGCATTCCTGAAAACTGCCACCAGAGCTCACCTTGAATGTAGAGTTGTAGGGCTGACACACGGCCCTACCTTGCTCTGAGTCACCAGAGCACCAAATGGGAGAGACCCTTCTCTTGGGTCCTCTCCTGTTCTGCTGATCTTTCTGGGGGGTTGGGAGCTGGAATACAAATAGAGTCTGAGACCCTCCCTGGACCAGATGGCACCCCAACATCTGTCACCACAGTAGTGGGGCTGAGGCTGCAAGAGTCGCCATGTGCAAGGTCCAGCTCCAAACAAACCCAAGTTTCCCTGTCTTTGAGATGGGTGTGGTTTCTATTAGCTGCTTATTCCAGAACCCTCAGTCCCCCACAACCCTTCCCTTGGAATTATGGGTTCTCTCCCAGCAAAGCTCCCTGGGTGCCCCTGCCTCATCCTGGTATGCACCCCCACTCCAGGACCTGATAGGAGCCTCCCCACTTCTGCCCACAGCTCCTACCCTGTGACGGTGGAACACTTCATGAACCGAACTATCACCACACTGGCCAAAGACACACCATTGGAGGAGGTGATCAAGGTCGTGACCTCCACAGATGTGGCCCAGTACCCCCTAGTGGAGAGTACAGGTATCCAGCTGGGAAGGAAGAGGGTATTGGAGGTGGGGTGAGGGTTCCTCTGACTTCCTTTGAGGTCCTCGAGTCTCAGGGCCGCAAAGGTAAGCAGGGCATTGGCTCTGCCTCTGAATCTGCAACCAGACAGTTGTGTGATCTTGGGCAAGTCCCTTGGCCTCTCTGAGCTTCAGTTTCTTCACGGGAAGATGAAGGTAATAACCACTTCCTGGGGAAAGTAGGGATGTTTAAATGCAAGAGGAGAGGTGCTTCTAAGACAGTCCAGGGCCAGCGCTTGGGATTCTAGGAACTGAGCCTGGTGTGCTAAGGAGTGTGAGAAGACTATTGCTAAGGTCTTCCAGAAGCTTCCTTTCTAGGCATCCTGGAAGCATTCCATTCCTGAGTGCTCCCCCCAGTTCCTGTTGCTAAGATAGATGAATGGTGGCAAGCCTTCGGGGGGAGTCTACCTTGAACATCCTCTCCAGTTCCCAGAAGCACAGTATCTGAGATGATCCAAGTAGGGCAGGAGCTATTCCAGCTCCGCTGGGGCACCTGTCCACCCATGTATCCCCCTGGTGCAAATGAGGCAGGGTGCATACTTGGCAAACAGCACAGTTGGAGTCTGGTGCCCATATGTCCTTGGGCAGGCCTCTTGAGAAGTAAGCAATAACCACAAGCATATAATCACCAGTGTATGCCCACTCCAAGTAGAATAAAGCCACCAATGGTGGAAGAAACATGGGTACACCTCAGGCTCCGTGACTTGCCGTGTCCTTGTATGGAAAATAGGGAGGGTCATTATAGGGTCCCACCCAAAGGTCAGGAGCTTCACTAATTGGGACACCTTCAGTATCCCACATATCCTATGTACTGATTTTGCATGAGGATGGCCCTCCCGTATGGCATAGATTGGGGGGTCACTGAATCTAGAATGTAGCAGGTTGGAAATTGGGGTCCCAGGCCCAGAAGACTTCACATCCTAGAACAAAGAATCAGCCCCAAAGCCACAGTAGGCACAGAGTTCCCAATGGGACAGTCCCTGGTTCCTCATAGCCCACCTGAGAAAGAGCCAATTTATGAAAGGGGAGGGGGGACTTCTGCTGTCAACATACTTGCCGAGTGTGTGTATGGTGCTGGGGACTGAATCCAGAGCCCTGTGCATGTTAGGCAAGCTTCCTGCCACTGAGCTACAGCCCCAGCTCAGTCCCTGGGTTTTACTTACTATATGAAATGAAATACCACTGGGCATGGTGGTGCATGCCTTGCCCAGCCCTCGGGAGGCAGAGGCAGGCAGATCTCTGTGAGTTCAAGGCCAACCTGGTCTACATAGTGAGTTCCAGGCTAGCTGGACCCTGTCTCAAAAACAAACAAACAAACAAACAAACAAACACCAAGCCTCACAAGGTGCCAGGCCTAGAGTCAGGCTTGCCTAGACCCAGCACTCAGTAGGATCTCAGATCATAATGCATACTTTCACTGAACTGAATCCTGTAGGAAGCATCTGGAAGGAAGACAGAGGAGAAAGCCCAGTGATACTCAGATGTCAAGAGGCTGATGTCCCAGCTTTCTCCTTCTGTGGGGACTCTCCATGGGGGCCAAAAATCTCTCCTGGCTCACTAGTAACCTCACCCAGCTGCCCTCCTGTCCACATGGAAACTGTAGGGCTTAGAGCAACAATTAGCCCATTGGAGCCTCAGTTTCCTTTTATGTAAACTGGGTGATAAGGGTTCTAATAGACCATAGGCTTCTGGAAGCTTCTTCTGAGACCTGAGAACACCTAGCATACTTCTTGGCACATAGGTGCTCAGAGAAGTGACTTCTGTGTTTATAACACATCTGTCCCTCTGAACTTGCTAGAGTCTCAGACCCTGGTGGGCACTGTAGAAAGGACCCACTTGGTACAGGCCCTCCAGACTGAGCCAGCTCCCTGGACTCCAGGCCAACAGGTGGGTCCTCCTGATGGGTATGGGGACAGGGTGGGGGTGTGAGCAGGGCTGTGAGGGGAGGGGTTGACTGACCTCCTAGAGAGAGGAGGTCAGAGAGCAGAACCCTGGGAGCTGGAGGCTGGTCCAGGCCCTCACGGTCCTTCCCCATTCCCAGCCTTGTCTCCAAGACATCTTGGCTGGTGGCTGCCCTGCACAGCCAGTGACCCTGCAGCTGTCCCCAGAGACCTCCCTGCATGAGGTAAAGGGAGAGCTAGAGGGTATACGTGGAGATGGAGGCCTGATAGGGGAGGCTGGATAATAGTGAATGCTTGCATGGACTCTGGCCACCCCTAGTGGTTAGATTGGACATCGCAGGTAGATGATCTTCCACTCAACTGGCACAGAGAAGGGGGTATGGGCAGAGTGGTGCTCCCTGTCCCCCAGCATTTTTTGGCAATTCTTCCTCCAGACACACAACCTCTTTGAGCTGCTGACCCTTCAGTTGCTGTTTGTGACATCGCAGGGCAGAATTGTGGGCTCCGTGTCCTGGGCAGAGGTATCAGGGTCTTGGGGGTGGGGCAAAGCAAAGAGGGTGAGGACACCAACAGCCTCCCTCCCTCCGTCCCTCCCTCCCTCCTTCTCTTCTTTCTCTCTCTCTTTCTTTCTTTCTTTCTTTCTTTCTTTCTTTCTTTCTTTCTTTCTTTCTTTCTTTCTTTCTTTCTTTCTTTCTTTCTTTCTTTCTTTCTTTCTTTCTTTCTTTCTTTCTTTCTTTCTTTCTTTCTTTCTTTCTTTCTTTCTTTCTTTCTTTCTTTCTTTCGAGACAGGGTCTCCCTGTAGCCCCAGCTGTCCTGGAACTCTCTATGTAGTCCAGGCTGGCTTCGAACTCAGAGATTCACCTGCCGCTTCCTCCCAAGTGCTGGGATTAAAGGCATGCACCACCATGCCTGACCAACAGTCTCCTTTTCAAAGTCTGGGGACTACATAGGTCTCTGGTGAACCCCAGATCCTGGATGAGAGTGACCACTGGGCCTGAGACCCCAATTGCCAGCCTGCTGTATTCAAGATTCAGTTATCTTCACCTATGCTATAGGGGAGGCACCAGTTCTAAATATACCCAGAATGAACCATTCGCCAGGGGAGCCGCCAATACCTGAGCCCCAGGCTGGATGCATCTCCATCTCCTCTAACCCTTCCTCCTCCCCATCTTCTGGTTCTCTGTCGTAGTTGAAGAAAGCAATTTCTACCCTGACCAATCCACCCACAGCCAAGTGAGTCAGCTTGTGGGTCAGCTGCCTTGTGCCTGGGCCCTCAGTTGCACAGCTCACCTACTTGGTAGAGCAAACATCTCTACTCAGCCCAGAAGAGGCCCCCCACATTCACTACCCCCCATCATGAGGGGACAATAGCTCCTGCCTGGAATTCTGTCCTGGGTAGAGCTGAAAATAAATGGAGACATGGGTGTGTACTGTCACCAAGGGTGGACACTTGTGCCTTCTGGGTTTGTCTATTTCCAACCAGAAGCTCTTGAGAAAAAGCTGATTCCCAGAGCCACTGTTAACCCTTCTTATCCCTCAAGGATGTGCAGAGTGAGGGGAGGGTTCCACGTTCAAACAGGCCTCTCTCAGTGGTCCTTCTATGCCCTGGTGATGAAGGAGCCCTGCAAAGCTCTGTCTACTTGTCTACCTGTGCCGTGCTTTGGTCTGCCCATATCTGTGTCCCTTAAGGACTTGGCTTCATTTCTGCAGGCATAGCCTATGCCCTCAACTCACCTGCAGCAAAGCAGGCCTCACACAGTTCATTCTCTGCAAATAACCCAACCACTAGGAACTCCAACCCTTCCACTCAGTGAGATGAATCACTCAGCCATGGGCCATGGCCTCAGGCTTTGTGATGTTCTTTGATGTGCTATACCACCCCTGGGGGGCAGAATAGCTATTGGGTGACTTCCAACATAAGGCCAAGTTCAGGACACCCCAGTACCCTTAGATCATCCCAGGGTCTGTACCCCAACCCTTGTCTATCCAATGCCCCTGAGCACTGAATGCCTTGCACCCCAATGCCACACACAATCTGTAGGCCTGCATGGTCCACACCCTAGGACCACAGTCAGAGGAGGCCTCGCTGTACTCACACCTTTCCCTGTGCTGTTCTCAGTCTTATAGTCCCACTTCACTTACATGTCCCCTCCTGCCCAGTATCCCATTCCCAGGAGACATTCCTGTGAATCTGGGGCAAGTTTCTGGACCAGCCTCTTAGTCCTCAGACTGGCCACGTCCTTCAATTCCTTTTGGATCCAGAGTCCTCCACCCATGGAATTTAGCAGTTTTGAGGAGTGTCCCTGTGCTGACAAAACAACTTAAAGGGAAGAGTTGTTTCTTTTGTTCATGATTTCAGATGGCTCAGTCCATGGTCACTTGGCTCTGTGTTTCCAGACTGTGTGGGGCAGGACATTATGGCAGTTGGAGCATATGGAGGAAGTGCGTCTATGATCCAGGGTGGTCGGGAATAGAAAGCAGGGAGGGGACCATGAACCAGGTATGGCTTTAAAAGAAAGGAAGGAAAATGAGGGGCTGGAGAGATGGTTCAGTGGTTAAGAGCACTGACAGCTCTTGCAGAGAACCTGGATTCTATTTCCAGCACCCACATGGTGGCTAACAACTGTCCTTAACTCCAGTTTCAAGGGATCTACCGCCCTCTTCTAACCTTTATGGGCATTGCACAACATGGGTGCACTTACACATATGCAGGCAATACACTCATACACATAAAATAAAAATAATAAATAAAATATTTTAAAAAAGAAAGGAAGAAAATGAAATCATGGGCTGGGGAAATGACTTAACTGGTAAAGTGTTTATTGTTCATGAGGACCTGAGTTTGGATTCCAGCACCCACATAAAAGCCAGGCCTAGTGGTATAGACCTGTAACCTCAGCACTGGGTAAGTGGCGAAAAAAGGATCCCCTGAGGCTTGCTTGCCATCTGAGCTAGCCAAATTGGTGAACTCCAGGATCAATGAGAGACTTTGCCTCAAAAAATAAGATGAAGAGGGAGGCACCTCAAGCCAGCCTGTGGCCTCCACGTGGTGTATGGTGTATGCACATCTGCACACACACACATGACACATGAAAAGTGAAGATGGCCTGCAGATACAGCTCAGTGCAGTGCTTGTCTAGTTCATTTCCTGTACTGTCCCCACCCAAAACATCAGTAGTTTTTGAAAACACTTAAAAGTACTCAGAAAGAAATCAATCACATTCATAATAACTACAAATAATAATAAAGAAAATGCCTAGCGATAAATTTAAACAACAAAATGAGCAATCTCTAAAATGAAAATTAGAACATATCAGGGCTGGAGAGATGGCTCAGCAGTTAAGAACACTGACTGTTCTTGCAGAAGACCTGGGTTCAAATCCCAGCACCCACATGGCAGCTAACAACTGTCCATAACCAGGTCCAGGGGATCCGATAGCCTCTTCTGTCCTCTGTGGGCATTGCATGACACAGGTGCACTTATCTACATTCAGGCAATACATGCATACACATAAAATAAAAATAAAATAATAAAAAAAATTTTAAAAAACAAAATTAGAAAATATCAATGAGAGATGTTGAAGAGGAATCCCCCAAATGGAAAGAAATCCTATGACCATGGACTAGAAGAATTAATAGTTAAAATGTCCATGTTACTCAAAGCTATCTACAGATTCAATTCAGTTGACTTTCAAATTACAAATTACATTCTTCATAGAAATAACAAAAACACACCAGACTGGAGAGATGGCTCAGTGGTTAAGAGCTTTCTTCCAGGGAACCTGAGTTCAGTTCCCAGTACCTACATCAGGTGGGTCACAACTACCTGCAACTACAGCTCCAGGGAATCAGATGCCCTCTTCTGGCTCTATGGGCACCTACATTCACGTGCATATACCCCCACCACACACACACACACAAAACTGCAAAAAAAAAAAAAAAAAAAGCATAAATCCCCAAAGTGAAAGGAATACTGACCAGAAAGAAAAAAATCTAAAAGGATTATAGTATCTGACTTCAAAGCTGCAGAAATGAAGCAGCATGATTCTAGCCTAAAAATAGTCACATTATCTGGGTGTGGTGGCACACACCTTTAATTCCAGCACTTGGCAGCATCAGAGGCAGGTAGATCTCTGTAAGATCAAGGTCAGCCTGGTCTACATAGTGAATTCCAGGTCTACTGGGCTACGGGGAGACCCTGTTGTCTCAAAAAGCCAAAAAAAAAAATGCGTATTTGTGCACCATGTACATGCAGTGCCCTTCAAGGCCAGAACAGGGCACTGGATCCCCTGGAACTGGAGTTACATACAAATAATCATGAGATACCATGTGGGTGCTGGTTACCTAACTCAGGTCCTCTGCAAGCATACCAAGTGCTCCTAATTGCTGAGCCATCTCTCCAGCCCCAGAAGGAGGAGTTTATTTGGGCTCATGGTTTGAAGGTATAAAGTTTCTCACCCCAGGGGAAGCATGGATGCAGGAGTGTGATCACATTGTGTCCACAGTCAGGAAACAAAGACTGATTCTCCATTTATGTTCGGTCTGGGACCCTAGCCCTTGGAATAGTGCTGCCAAGTGAGTCTTTCCACCCCAGTTAAAACTCTCTGAAACCAGGGCTGGAGAGATGGCTCAGCGGTTAAGAGCACTGACTGATCTTGCCCAGGGCCCTGGTTCGAGTCCCAGCACCCACATGGCCACTACGAACCTTCCTTAACTCCAGTTCCAGGGGATTCTGAAGCCCTCTTCTGACCTCTGTGGCATTGCACGACACGGGTGCACTCACATATATGCAGGCAATACACTTATACACAAAATAAAAATAATAAATAAAATACTGAAAAAAAAAAACTCTCTGAAACCACTCACATAGAAACACCCAGAGGCATGTCTCCTAAGTTGACTCTAAATCTTATCAAGGGACTTGAGAGATGGCTCAGAGTTAAGAGCACGGGCTGCTCTTGCAGAGGACCTAGGTCTGGTTCCCAGCATCCACATAAAGGCTAACAACTGTCCCTAACTCCAATTCCAGAGAATCTTATGCCTTCTTCTGGCCCCCATGAACATATCAGACATGTGGTGCACTTACATACATGCAAGCAAAACACTCATACACATAAAATAAAAATAATTAATTAAATCTTGTTAAGGAGACAAGATTAACCATTGCAATGCCACTCCTTATCAACTTGACACCCAAGCACATTTCCTTTAAATTATAACCTTTTACCCTTGATACCCATTGGCTCACAGCCATCTGATAATGCAAAATGCATTCACGCCATCTTTAAAAGTCCTCATAACCCTGGCCAGGCATGGTGACGCACACCTTTAGTCCCAGTACTTGGGAGGCAGACGCAGGCAGGTCTCTGTGAGTTTGAGGCCAGCCTCGTCTATAATGAGTTCCAGTCCAGCTGGGCCTACAGGGAGACCTTGTCTCTAAAACACAAAAGAAAGAAAAAGTCCTCATAACCCTTCATAATTTCAACACTGTTCAAACTTCAAAATCTCTTCTGATAGTCAAGGCAATTTCTTAACTGTGAGATTCTATAAAATAAATTTTTTTTAAGAATGCATTCTTCCAATATACCATGACAGAATAAAAATTCTCATTCTAAAAGAGATGAATAGAGGCAAAGAGTCAAAATAAAACTGAAATTCAGCAAGACAGACACCAAATCCTGCAGCTTCATGTCCAGCATCTGGAGCTCATGATGGAATCACCTGGACTCCAATGGCCTTGAGAAGTCTTTCCCCTCCAGCTCTCCTGCCTATAGCCTGTGTGACATCTCTTTGGGGCTGGCTTTCCTCTGTGTCTGTAGCTTTCCTTAGTGGACATCCCATGGTCCTGGCATTTCCAATATCACCTCTGCAGTTCCATGTAATGGTCTCTTAGGGCCACCTCTCAGGGCAACCTGCCATGTACTGCCTGGCCTTAGTAGCTTCCTGGAGCCTTAGTGTAAACCTTTATGACCCCTCACTCTGACATCTTTCATGTTTTCGAAACCAGTATCACATGAACAATGCTGCTAAGTTCTGCTGCCAACTTAAAATGTAGCCCTTGGACCACAGTTGCAGCAACATCTGTGTGCCTTTTATGGTGACTGAGGAAACACTTCCCCATTTTTCAGCAGGAAACCTTTGGGGTGGCATTCTTAGTTTAGGCTCTATCCTCTCAAACTAACTTATATGTTGATCAGTTGGAGCTTTCAGTACATAGAACCAAGACACCTTTCATAT